TCATGGTATAAACACCAGTGAATATTTCCTCTAAGCCAGAATGCGCTGCAGAAGAGGAACAATGGACATTGGAGTTTTCCAAAAGGAAGTTGATGGATTTACCCAACAAGGAAAGTTGCTGGCTCCTGGAATGGAATATTATTAAAGGATTATGTTTTAACGCTAGTGAGAACCATCTTCCATGGGAAGGAACTGAACAGGAAGTAAGGCAGATGTAACTCAGAACTGTGCTTTCTGTGCCATTAATGAACCTAGTAGAAATCTTGAGCCTCCTCTCCTGACACCTGTTCAGCATCAAGGAACTTAGAGGAGGATCAGCAGCTTGACCTTATGCAAATAATCAAACGCTCATATGTTCAAGGTATGAATCTGTTGGTTCTTATTGATAGCTTCAGTGTATGGGCAGAAGCTTTTCCTATCTGTACTGAGAAAGCCAGAGAATGGCTTGGTGTTTCTGTGTCCAGTAGAAAAATCTGGACACAGGAAGTCATTTTTCTATCAACCAAACCTGTGGGTAGTTATTCCTTTCCATTATTTTGGTGATAGATATGGGTATGGCATTATGATGCTTTGGTTTCTGTTGCTTTAACTCTTGTTTTTTAAGACAGCAAACAACATTGTCCTTACTGGGTCAGAAAGGACCTTCTACTCCTCCAAGGGTCTAACCATTTCAAACTGAATCCCTCAGGGCTGGGGCGATAGCACAGCGGGTAGGGCGTTTGCCTTGCACGCAGCCAACATGGCCGACCTGAGTTCGATTCCTCCGCCCCTCTCGGAGAGCCTGGCAAGCTACCCCGTGATGTATTCGATACGCCAAACACAGTAACAACAAGTCTCATGATGGAGACGTTACTGGGCCCGCTCGAGCAAATCGATGAACAACGGGAGGACAGTGACATATAGTTAATCATTGTAATTTATCAGTCTTGGCCACAGTCCTCCCATTGTTCATCGATTTGCTCGAGCGGGCCCAGTAACGTCTCCATCATGGGACTTGTTATTGTGTTTGGCACATCGAATACGTCTCGGGTAGCTTGCCAGGCTCTGCCGTGCGGGCGAGATACTCTCAGTAGCTTGCCAGGCTCTCCGAGAGGGGCGGAGGAATCGAACTCGGGTCGGCCATGTTGGTCGCTTGTAAGGCAAACGCCCTACCACTGTGCTATTGCTCCAGCCCCAATTTATCAGTATTAGTTGAAAATGATAAGTGAATGATAAGCTGCGTTCTGCCATCCTTTTTTCACTACTTGGTACACCACACTCTGCTTCAAGTGATTCCTAGTATTGCTTACTTTACCTCTGGCCACATGAATTTCTTTTAGTTATTTGGTTTTGGGGCCACATCCAGAACATTCTGAGGTACTCCTGGCTGCAGTCAGAGGTAACTCATGGCAGTGCTTGGAGTACTAAATGAGGTACAGAGGATTTGACCCCATGCAAGACAAACACCATGCCCACTGTAGTCACATAAATTCCTGGTATTTCTTATCATATTTTCCTGAACTGTTTGTGTTGTTGGAGAGCTGAGATGCTGTGACAGCTTTTTGGAGCCCCTGCTCTATTCTCTATCTCTCTGCTAGACTGACTCCCTGTCAGAGTCTCAGCACCTCTTTGGTACCTCCCCCAGCACAGCAACTCACTCAATCTTAGTATTCATGTGTAGGAGCTCTTTTTCTTAAACATTGATACTATATTTTAATTTTGATTAATATTCTATGGTTGACAATACTATTAATAATGATTTCTCATATGTGCAGGTGTTCTTTAAGAGATAGGCTGAACATTGTGCTTTTCCTTCAAAGCTGGCCTTCTCTAGACATTTATTTCTCTTAACATGATGCCCTCTGTTTATATCCAAGTTGGAGCAAACTGCACGATTTACCCTTACAGTTGTATAGTATTCCGCTGTGTTTATATACCACAAATCTTATCTAATTATCTGTCACTGGACATTTGGGTTGTTTTCACATATTATTTAACTAAATGCTGCAGTGAAGGGGTGTGCTTATATCTCTTCAAATTACTGCTCTGTATTTGTAGGAGAGACTCATATGGAAACTCTAAGTTTTTAAAAGACAGTGTATTTATTTCCATAGAGGCTGAACCAGATAACATTACCACTTACTAATAGTGAACGAAGGTTCCTTATTCACCATCTTCTCACCACACTATTTTCAGTCTTTCTGGTATACACCTTTTCACTGGTTTTACTGTTTTGTTGTTTTTGAAGCCCACTGTGGGTCATAGGAATTTTGTCTCCATCATCTTGTTCCTGCCTCCTCACAATCAACCTTTTAAGCCTGATCTGTTTTATAATATTATTACTATATATGATCTTAAAGAACACTAACTATAACTTTTGGGAACTTAAATGCTATTGAGAATGGCATTACAATAAATATATTATTTTGAAATATATTACTCTTATACAGAGTTATGCTTTGCCATTTATACTGATATATGAAGTCATGAGCAATTTACTTTAAATTATAATTTCTGTGTAATATTTTACTGTGTTGTGTTGATATATCAAGCTACTCTTATTTATTTATTTATTTATTTTTGCTTTTTGGGTCACACCTGGCGATACACAGGGGTTAATCCTGGCTCTGCATTCAGGAGTTACTCCTGACGGTGCTCAGGGGACCATATGGGATGCTGGGAATCGAGCCCGGGTCAGCCGTGTGCAAGGCAAACACCCTACCCACTGTGCTATCTCTCCAGCCCCAACTATTATTTATTTTTAATCAACTGGTATACACATTTGATTATATTTGTGTGTCTTAAAATATTATTTTGCCTTTAATTTTAATGAGCATGTTTGCTCTTTATAGCTGGGGTAAATGAATCTCCTTGTTTCTTGCTTTATCATTTTTGTGCCAACAAATGTATTGATATTTTATCAATACTCTCTGTTCAGCAGGTTATCAAATATTTCCTTATCTAACATTCAAAATATATGCTAAACAGACATAATCCCAGACTTAAGAGGTTCCTGTTCATTGGGTCAGTTAAGAGGTTCAGAAACACCAGTTCAGAGTCTTTTGTAATTCTGAAGACTAGGAGCAGTCTGGGAAGCCTTTTGATAATGTAGATATATTTGATAAGAGAAATCTTTGTGCATCTTTAATTTACATATTTTTAATGTTAGTGCAATTTCATTTCTGCTCTTCTGTAACCTCATTGTCCTTAATGATTGAGCAAAAATTTTAAAAAAATATCTGAGACATTGCGATTTATAATACCTAAATGGCAGGTTTTTTTCAAGACAACATTCCAATACCACAACCTTTACCAGAGTATTCTCCTCATCTGCTCAAACCATCCCCACTCCTATACGAGACGAAAGTAAGTTCAGCTCTACAGACCTATTCTCAGATTCATTTGCCTTTGGCCCTTTGTTGATCCCTTACTCTATTTCTATATATCTCAAATATAAAATCACCGTGTATCCAAGTTTCAGATATTTGTTAGCTTTTGAGACACACCAGGGTATGCTCAAGACCCCTACCTGCTATACTAATATCCAGCCAATATCAATCCAGTCTATTTATTTTGTCCTCCTTACTCTGTACCATTACCACCTATCTGTTTTTTGTGATCTTCATGAGAATGAAAATCATGAAATTGTATGATTCTCTTTTGCTCTTGCTGCCATTTCAAAACTGGATTGTTCTCAGAAATGGCTGAAAAGAGAATAATAATGGGTTTAATTTTTTTAAAAAAATCTTCATATCATAAAGTCCACAACCCAAGTTTGAAAAATTAGGTTGTCTGTCTTATAGATGAAGATGTGGCTTCAGAAACAACTTATGAAAGTAATGAAAATTTCTTCCCAACAATTTTGACTAAAGTTTTGTTGGTATCAGTAATGAAAAACTTCTTCCCAACATTTTTCAATAAAGCTTCAGTTTTTGAAATGTAAACTTTACCAGGAGAGATCTATTGAGGTCACACCCTGCAGTACTCAGGGGCGACTCCTAACTTTGTGCTTGTTGGTGATTCCCAGAGATACTCTCACAACCATGTGGAGTCAGGGATTGAAAGTATGGTTCCAAGACACAAAACATGCTACCCAACACATCAGGCCACCTACTTATACCTGAAATGCAAATTGAAATAGAAACTTTCTTTAAAAAGCTGTAATGACTGAAACTTTGTAATGTGCCTATCAAGTCGACAGATGGGGATGGGGTGGGGGTTTGGGTGAGGAGAGAATATGGGAACACTGATGGAGGGAATTTGACACTGATGGTGGAATTGGTGTTGAAATATATGCCTAAAATACAACTAAAGTATGCCTAAAATACAAAGTTATTTGTAAATAACTTTGTAAATCATAGTTCTTTAATAAAAATTTAAAAGAAAGGTAAGGAAATTAAACCAATTTGTAGCTACAATTAATATCTTAGATTTTTGTAATTAAACTAGTTTTTGAATTATTGGGGATGGATGTTGGACTGCTAAGACTTATCTTTGGGGAATGTGAAGGCAATATCTAAGGATTACGGGTTCTTGCATAATAGGTAGGATAAAAGTTAAACTAGGTAGGCCCAACATATAATCAAGTTTCACAGTCATGTAAAACAAATGTAGCCCCAGTTTAAAAGTAATTCCTGGGTTTACTTATCTTGCTAAAATATCTGAATTTCATGACTAAGTATTTATTAAGCAATACACTTATGTGACTGGAATGGTTTCAATTTCTTCTCAAACCACATAAAGTATAAAAGAATATAAATTCTCCCACCCATCTCAGAGAAATGAGTCCCTATATTATTATTTTATTTTTATTTTTTAATTAAATCACAGTGAGATAGAGCATTATAAAGCTGTTCATTATTGGATTTCAGTCATATAATGTTCTAATACCCATACATCCACCAGTGTATTTTACCAGCAAAAGTGTCCCCAGTTTCCCTCTCATCCTTCCAAACCCCCTATCCTTGCTTGAAGTATATTTAAAGCATTTATTTGGGTATCAGACACATAAGTTTTGAATTAAATGAATACAGATTGCTTTCTTAAACTGCTTTATTAATTTCACAATATATAGTGAGGGTTTCCCCATGCAATAGGTAAAATTTCCCTGCTAGTAAAATCTTACAGATGGGGGTCAAAAACAGCATTCAACTAGAAACTGGCAATAAAGGACCCACCAGAAATGAGTGACATCAAAAGGTTTACAATAAAACTGCATCACAAACATGTAAGTTTATAAATCAGATATATCCCTATCAATTTCAGAGAAAACATCAGGATTCAAGGCATAAGGCAAAATTCATCGTGATGGTCAAGGTGAGGAGGGTCAGTGCTAACTGCCCGCAAACTATGAGTCAATTGCCTTTCCCTCAGTTTTTGCATGATCTCTCTCATTTCATTTCCAATCCTTTCCATATTGTCTTCTCTCATCCTTCCCTGTGGCCCTCCAAGCCTCATAATCATGTCCCTTCTATCCTGCAAGAGGGGCTGCCTAACAAGTAGCTGCCTAGGAATTCCTCTGGGCACATGATATTCACCAACTTCCAAATGTTCTCCTTTATTAGCATCCCGCTCCTTTGGATCCTTCTTTTTATTTTCCTGGTTGCTATTTTCCATGTTGACATTTTTTGCCACTTGTTCATTTTTGGACTCCATTATTCCTTGGAGACAAAAGGTGAGCGGGAATTGAATTTCTGCTGGACAGATCAGCACCCAGCACCGAGGACAGAAGCCCAACTATTGGTCTTTTAAGACCCTTTAAAAAAATTTAATTTCCCCCCCACCTTAAGATCCTTCCCCACTCCCTCTTGCTGCCCCTCCCTCCATCACCCCAACCCAGAATTTCCCCTACAGATATATCTCAGATTCTTGCAGGCACCAAAATAGAGGACTGTGAATGGGAAACTGGGAGGGGAATACAGATTGGGCTCTCTACCCACCCCCCATCACGTTTCCCAGAACCTGCCTGGGCCTATTCTTGCTGTCTCTTCTTCCCCTTGATTGTCACTGTCAGGTACTCAGCAGCAACACTCGGAAAGGAAGATCTGCAAAGAACTGGAGTTGAGCAGGAGAGAGATTGCAACAGTCAAGCACAAGGCACCAGACTCAGGGATGCCAAAACTCTTCTGGGGCTTTTACTGTCCCAGACCCTCCTCCCCACCAAAGCCCAGAATCTTCTGCCCCTCCCCTTCACTTTAAGCTACCCTAGAACTACCCACACCTAGGTACTACTTTTCTGTAGGAATGGGGCAGGGGGAAGGCTGATTTTTCATCACACTAAATTGCTCTGCTGCTGTCTCTGGAACCCTGACACCCTGGCACTCCCAACATAGGGATCTACAATTTGTTCCCAGGTGGAGAAAGCTGGTCGTGAGGACTGCACTGAAGTCAGGAGGCCTTGGACTCATGTCAGCAGGCCACTGCTTGCCGCCCATGCGTTGGCGCTTAGGCACCAGAAACCTTACCTTCTCCGCTTTCCCAGGGGCCGGAGCCAGCTCGCCGAGCTGAGGAGCGGGGAGTGAGGAGCACCCAGAAGGCAGTGAGTGCTGAAACGAAGGCTGCGTCAGCTCTGCAGCACGCGGTCACGTGAAGGCCTGGCGTCACCGTTTTGCTACCCCTCCTCCTCATCCCACACCCACAGGCCAGTAAGGCAGAATCCCCCTCCCCCGACCTCTCAGGCAAGAACTCCCTTCCCCTGGTCTGGGCGCGGGGTGCCCGGGAGCCGAACCTTGTCACAAATCCAGGTTCTCTCCACACTGCCAACCCACAGCCATTACCACCCTGAGACTGGGGGGTGGGTTGTTCTTCTCTAGTCACGGGGGTGGGTCAGCGTTAGCCTCTCTCCATTTTCTCTCCCTCCTCTAAGACCTGTGCTTTGATTCTCGCCTTTTTTGCTTTTTCTGCTCTTGGATGAGCATCTGCTTGCTAATAAAGTCTTTTTGTTTCCTTAAAATTAACCCAATCTTTTAAAGTGAAAATTAGAAAAGTGACTTTTTAAAAGACATGCTTCAAGCTAAGGAAGCAAAAATCCTCATTGACTATAATACCTTCTACCTAATAAGAAATAATTTTTCTGGGTGCCACACTGAAGAGCTTTAAAATATTCTTTCTCAACTGAGGAACGTCTGTGGAACGCCTCAAATATTAAACAAAAGTGTCTGTACTTATGAGACAGTATGTAGTCTATTTGTGTCATGAGAATGTTCGTACTTTTTAGGTAATTCTCAAAAGAAACTAATCCTCTTTCAAAAATGTTTTAAAATAAATTTTAGGAAATACGTGTGTATGCTGTCTCACTCTTACCTAGGCCTGCTTCCTTTTGGTTTTCTTTGATTCTTCATCATTCTTCATATTATTTTTATATGAGTATCTGTTTCTTTAAACAGTGTCATGAAACTACTAAATACCTAAGATTTTTCCCTTTAAAGTGGGTTTTCTATAGCCACAGATATGTGCAGCAATCACCACAGTCAATGTCATGGTATTTACCATGTCAAAAATAAAAGAGTACAATTTAACTATCACTCCACATTCCTCTCTATATAAAGGCAACCACGAATATTCTGTAGATCTGTAGATGTAAAATCTATAAATTCCATATATTTCTCTGTTATGGACGGTTAATTTGGAATATTTCCCTTTATTTTTCACAATGTTTCCAAGGTCTATAGCAACAGAATAATTAATCACCTCAAGGATTGTATGTTTTCAAAGTAATAACTTTATACTCCTACTGGCACTGTATGAAGATGAGGGGTTTAGATTTCTCCATATTTTCACCAGCATTTGTTATTATCTAAATTTTTGATACTAACCTATTTTTGACATGAAAAGGCACTTTATTACTAAAATTTAATTAAATAGAGCCTGGCAAGCTCCCCGTGATGTATTCGGTATGTCAAACACAGTAACAACAAAGTCTCCAATGGAGACGTTACTGGGCCCACTCAAGCAAATCGATGATCAACGGGAGGGCCTTTACTTTTTTTTAAAGACTTAATTACTATTTTCTCACCCCTCATGTTCAGCATGAGCATTTACAATGCATTCCTGGTTCTGCATTCAGGACCCCAGAATAGGGAACCATATGTGGTACTGGGGATTGGAACTGGAGTCAATTATATGGAAGACAAGTGCCTTACTTTTTATATTATCTATCTGCTCCCCCATTAGTTTGTCTAACTATATTAGTGTCTGTACCTTTCTGGTATAAAGTGATGCATCTTTGCGTCCAGAAATATAATGGGCAAACAAGGAATTTACTTTGCACATGGCTGACTCAGATTCAATTACTGGCACTCCATAACCTGAACTAGTTTCCAAGAAACTATCAGGAATGATCCCAGAGCACAGAACCAGAAGTAATCACTGAGCATGACGGGATGTGGTCCCCAAACAAACAAACAAACAAAAAAACAGTTATTCACCTCTGTGCCAAAAACATTCTGAAGGTCGTTTTGATTTGCATTTGTCATATAAAATTTTTCAGCATATTTAAAAAACTTTTTGCATACTGCTCGTCTTAAGTATATTTCCTCTCACAAATTTCTTATTATGAAATATTAATTTTATTATCAATGTCCTCAGATTTGCCTTTTTTTGTTTTGTCTCTTCATGAATTTTACCTCCTTATATTGCACACCAAAGTACAATGATCAAATACTTGTCTTTTACCTTCTGACTTTATTTTCCCTCCTATAATCTATAATTCCTTCAAGTTCTTTCCAGGTATTCTGCCAATTTAATAGGGTTGAACTTTTTAAAATTTTATGAGTTATTTATATAACTTAGATATTAACCTTTTATCAGAGATATGATGTTAAATATCTTTTTAGTATGCTGTTCTTTTGTTCTGTTTATATTTTTGTTGTACAAAATCATTTGAATTTGATTTACTCCCAAATGTTTAGTTTTAACTTTGCTTGCTGTTGGATATTAATTTCCTTAAATATCTCTTATCTATTGTCATGAAATGTTTCCCCTTTCTTGTCTCTTATGCACTTTACCGGGATTAATCTACACAGAGCCCACACACAGCCATCACCATCCTGAGACTGGGGGCTTAATTCTTTTTGAATTTATTTTTCATGAGGCTAGTGAGTATTTAGCTTCATTTTTTGCATTAATGGAGTTAGAGAGAATTTTAGCATTTTTTTCTTTGGATCTATAGTTTTCCCATTAACATTTGCTTTCATAATTATAAATAATATCTTAGACTATTTGCATATGGAGCGATAGCACAGGGCTGGAGCAATAGCACAGCAGTAGGGCATTTGTCTTGCATAAAGCTGGCCAAGCCAAGCCTGGGGTTCAATTCTTCTGCCCCTCTCAGAGACCCTGGCACAGCAAAGCCTGGCAAACTACCCGTGACGTATTCGATATGCCAAACACAGTAACAACAAGTCTCACGATGGAGACGTTACTGGGCCCGTTTGAGCAAATCGATGAACAACAGGAGGACCATGCTGGAGTGCCTGCCAAAGATTGATAAATGTGTAAGCTGATGGCTTGCTTGCTTGGCTTTTGTATTCATCCTTGAGTATATTTTGTTCTGATACGACAGGAATTAAATTACTATCACCTTTTAATTTAGTTTTAAGTAAGGGAACATAATGCTACCATTATTTTTCTCTACGTTAGGATTGCAGTACTTATTTAAGTTCCTTTATGAGTCCATACAAAACTCAGTATTTTTATTATATTTTCTTTAAAAGTATCATTGAAAATTTTGTTGAGGTTATGCATAAATAAAAATTATGTATTTTTTAACTTATTAGTGAAACACCATGAGGTACAGTTGTAGACTTAACAAACTTTTGTGCTTGGATTTCAATTATACAATGATCAAATACCCATCCTTCCACCAGTGCCTATTTTCCACCATCACGGGTCCCAGTACCCCTCCCACCCCCCATCCTCCCCATCCCACCCTACCTCTGTGGCAGGGCATTCCTTTTGTTCTCTCTCTCCTTTTGGGTGTTGTGGTTTGCAAAGAGGCATTGAGTGGCAATCATGTTTGGTCTATAGTCTACTTTGAGCATGCTTATCCCATCCTGGGAGGATTCTCCCAGCACCCTTAATTTGGTGCTCCCTTCTCTATCTGAGCTCCCTTTTCCTGATTCTCAAAAAATTAGAAATTGAGCTCCCATTTGACCCAGCAATACAACTCCTGGGAATATATCCCAGAGAGGCAAAAAAAGTATAGTGGAAGTGACATCTGCACCTGTTTGTTCATTGCAGCACTATTTACAATAGCCAGAATCTGGAAAAAACCTGAGTGCCCAAGAAGGGATGACTGGTTAAAGAAACTTTGGTATATCTATACAATGTAGTACTATTAGCTGTTTAAAATTATATATTAATTAAGATAAAATGAACATTTTGACTACAATAATTTTCCTAGCCAAATGCACAAAATATCTTTTTATGCCAAAGTGTCATGTATCTTTCAGCAGTGTTTTATATTTTTCCTCATATAGGACTTTCACTTCATTTGCTAAATTCATTTCCAGGGATTTGATTATTCAAATGCAAATATTAAATATGATTCCTCTCTTAATTTCTTTTCATTCATTGTATGCATATAGGAATGCAAACTTTAGTACGTTGATTACGGATTCAGTTATTTTTTCTATGCTGTAATTATTACTAAGAGCTTTT